GTACAGCGATAAAACCCTGTGTTTACAGCCGATGCTTTCACATACGTAGAACTCAGAATGCACAAAGTTGGCAAAATTCAATCGCATCAGTGGCAAGAACGAATATAATAAAGAAATGGCAGCAGTTTAAAACATTTTTATGCATTTTTTGCATCTATGCAATGCAAAAACGCATACTGTCGAAGGGCTGTCTGTGTTTTCTCAGTGAAAAATGAACAAACTTGAACTCTGATGAAATACTCTGCTAAGCGAGAATCAGCTCACCGAAAATGCTTTACAACATCTTTTTCGATATTCAAAATTTTTGTTGTAAAAAAATTGTAAAAATTCTGTAAAAAAATCCTGAAATTGTAAAAAAAAAAAGAAATCCATACTTGTCCAACAAACAGCAGCAGTGGGCGAACAAATAACGAATTTCCGGCGTCGAACATACACCATCAAATTTCAGAAGGTTATACGCTGCTTCAATACGTGTCCCGCGTACCAGGCAGTGAGCAAATAGATACAGCGAATCAACAGTTTTCACTAAAAAAAATCAACAGTTATATCTCAATATTTTTTTAAAAAAAATTCAATATTTTGAAAAAATAAAGAAATTTTGAAATTTGCTGGGCAAGCATTCGAAATCTAATCCATTTTTGGATCATGTATACGACTTCAAGGATCGAAACATTCCTGTTCAACTGATTAATTATAATTTAATGTTATTTTCTTAAATCTTAGTATAATTTACCTTTAAAGCTTTAAATATACTTTTTAACCATTTCTAGCAGCTTATTTACTTACAACTCTGAAACAACTCCCCATCGTCAGGAAACGGATGAAACGAATAAGCTTCTTCTAGTCATACGCTACCTCATCATGTTCTACCAATATCAAATTTCGAATAAAAATGGTGCTAATCACAAAACAAAAGAACCCCAAAATGACAAATTTCTTGCCAAATGTTTTTGCCAGGGGAACTACTGAGCTAATATGCTCTTCACAAAATTTGAAAACGCCGTCAAGGCCTAAAGTCAGGCGAAGTATACTGGACAGAAAAATCGAAAAAGTTACCAACTGCACAGTTAGAAAACCGTACTAGAATTACCAGCTGTCCTAGGTATGCCAAGCTCACTGGGACAGTCGATGTACAGATCGAGTGGATCGCCGTTGTACGTCTAATTTCCGAAGTATCATTATTTTCAAGCATAATTGTACTTACTGTTATTGTTATTGCCATTATTACTACCAGCGTTATTATAATTGATAATAAAAATAATATTATCAATATTATTATTATTACTATTATTATTATTATCACCATCACCATCATCATAATTATTGTCATAAATGAGTGTACAAGTTTCACAAATCTCACAAATGACTAAAAAACTGCTAAAAATTTACCAGTTTCATGATAAAGCTCGGCCAAAACAATCGCATCAGAAACAGCAAAATGCTGCAGGTGACAATGAATAACATTCTAAAACATGTTTTTTTTTGAATCAAAAAAAAGTTTTGCATTCTGAAACGACCACAGTTAGAAGATCAAAGGTCATGATTTTTGGATATCTGCTACGGGGAATCAAGACGTCTAATACAAAATCTAAAAAAATTTTAAAGCTACAAAAATCCTTAAAAGCACAACAAGCCGTTTTTTTTTGCGGGAAAAAATCGCGGAAATTTCAAATTAATGTTTTTCCTGTGAATTTTGTTCATCACGATTTCCCAGGAAATCACAGCGGTGAAACTTCAAATGTTGGTAAAGGCGCAAGAATTTTATCACAAGACAAATAAAATAGCAGGCAAAAAATGTATTATTTTCTAACCTCAACGCACGCGATTCTTCGCCAGAACAATCATTTTACACCGCGACGAGCTATTTTTTCCCCCTACATCGAAGAGACCTGATATTCCAAGTTTACATTCAGCCTTCACACAGGTCCTCATTACAGCTACTACACCTTTTTTTCACAACATATGCTGTTTCACTATCTCTTTTCACTTCTTGTTTTCTTGGTCTTTCCTTTCATTCTCTTATTCAGATGGGCTAAATTTGCGTTTACCCTGAAAAATGGGATAAAAGTGAAAGTTCTGTTGCTCGCTTACCTCGAATTCTTTGCTTCGCACCAATCCAGAAACATCGGAGTTCGACGGCTCTTCACGCATATTCCGACAGCAATCAGTAACCGCAAACCACGCAATACGGGATTGCCGCTTCTTTTCTGCAACAAAGAAAACCCCTCTCATCATAGTGTGACCGAAAACACAGAAATCATACGCAAAAATATTCCGCGAAATGGAAAAATGAAGTCCCCGGTCTACCTCAGCTTCTAATAAATGAGCCCTCGATGTTATTCAGAAGCAGCCAAACGCCAAAATTCATCTTTCCTAGACTGCATTGTTTCCCCGTATTCCACGAACAGTT